CATTCAAAAGGCTTCTCCCCTGTGTGGGTTCTTAGATGGGTTTGAAGAGTGCTCCTGCAAATGAATCTCTTCCCACACTCTGAACATTCAAAAGGCTTCTCCCCTGTGTGGGTTTTTTGATGTTTTTGAAGAGTGCCACTGTGACTGAATCTCTTCCCACACTCTGAGCATTCAAAAGGCTTCTCCCCTGTGTGGGTTTTTTGATGTTTTTGAAGAGTGCCACTGTGACTGAATCTCTTCCCACACTCTGAGCATTCAAAAGGCTTCTCCCCTGTGTGGGTTTTTTGATGTTTTTGAAGAGTGCCACTGTGACTGAATCTCTTCCCACAGTTTGAGCAGTCAAAAGGTTTATCCTGTGTGTGGGTTCCTAGATGGGTTTGAAGATTGCTACTTTGACTGAATCTCTTCCCACATTCTGAGCATTCAAAAGGCTTCTTCCCTGTGTGGGTTCTTAGATGTTCTTGAAGATGGCCACCATGACTGAATCTCTTCCCACAATCTGAGCATTTAAAAGGCTTCTCTCCTCTGTGGATTCTTTGGTGCACAAGGAGCTGTGATCTGTATTTGAAGTAGTTTCCACACCAAAAGCATTTACATGCATTCCTTATACTGTGCTTTGGAAAATGTATATTACCTTTGCCTCCCACAGAGAACGTCATTCCAGTCTCTGAGCAAATAAACAGATTTCCTCCTGTATGAATCCTTTGGTGTTGAACAAGGTCTGATTCCTCTGAGAATCCCTTGCCACAGTCTGAGCAGCTATATGGTTTCTCTCCTGTATGTGTTCTTTGAAGTCTAAGGAGCTCTGCTCTGTGAATCATGGTTCTTCCATACTCCAGCCAGTGATGTGTCTTCTGTCCACTGTGCAATTGTAAATGGACATTGTACTGGAATTGATTTGAGAAGTTCATTCCACACGCCAAGCATGTGTATGTTTCCTTCACTGTGTGGATTGCTTCTTGGTAATCTCCCTCTTGGCAAGGAATGGGTTTACCCCTCTTCTTGATGATGTGGCTTCTTTTCTCCTTCTTAGGTCCAAATTGGTTTCTGGAGTTTCCGCTCAAGTCTTCATTCTTGACTTCGTCTGGCGATAGAGGATGCAGTTCCTCATCCCTCTCATCATCCCCTGCTGGAATAAAGAAAGAGATCCTGTTAGAACCCACGCAAGGAGGTCTGATCTGCACCTGAATTTCCATCCGCAATCCAAATATTACAGTAACTTCTTTGCGCTGTATGCTGAAGTGTACAATAACATACACTTTAAAAGTACATTAAGCCTCCTGCATGAGAGATGGTTGGTCTGGACTCTAACCGTTTACATGGTTTCCCAGCTATGTGCCTCTTACGTGAAGGAAGGGCTCTTGTTTCTACACTGCAAGCAATTCAACATTTTCTCTCCTAAGGGAATTTTTGTCTACAAAATGATGTTCATTCTCTGACGGAAGGTCTTTGTCAAGGCCACCCTTTCATTTTCCCCGGAGTGGATTCTCTGGTTAGTATGGCGGCCTTTGTCCCTTCTCTTTTTGATTGACCTTTCTTCTAGGACTGGGATTGCACGGAGAATGGGCTTATCCCTCCTCTTACCTGCTTGGCTTCCCTCCTGCCCCTGGGGTCCATCTCCATCTCCGAAGTGTCCTTCGGTATCTTCATTCTTGACTTTTTCCAAAGAGAACCCCTGGAATTCCCCAGGTGTCTCCTCTACATCTGCTGCTGGAATAAAGAAAGAGTTTCAATCATCACCCAGGCAAGAAGCCAAGGCACCAGTCAGGTACTGCTCAGGAACGGGTGTGCATTTATGTTATCCGATCAACTCTCCTCCCAAACTGAGATGCTGGTCACACCTTATCCCTCCCAGGCCCTCCTGTAGAGCTTTTTTGATATTCTGTCTATCTCTCCCCGCTCCACATTCCCCATATGTATTTTAAGGGGGAAAGTGGCGAAATATTGTCGTCGTCCCCCCCTTTCCCATTTGAGTTATCGTGCTTTTTGACTTCTGATTCTCTGCACTTGACGATTAAATACAAGAGGTTATCAAGACATCCAGGCCTGCAACTGCACTGAGAGTTTCCTTCCAGGTGTCAACAGAGCCAGGAGGAGCTTAGTTTTCACCCTCCCCCAAATACATGTTTTCCGGGGGCAGGAGAGAAGCCAGGAGCTCACCAAGTGAACCCCATAGTTCAAATGGGTCCCCCATAGTTTTTTGAATAGGTGCCGCTTGTTGGGGGGCAGGTAATGACAGTGTAGGGGCACCTTTCTCAAGGTCAGAGATGTTTTCTTGCTATTTCTGAGTGGTTCTCTGCACCTTAGCCGAGCATGGCTATTGTCTATTGCACAGCCATGTCTGAAGTATAATGTGTCCCCCCCAAAAAAAACAAACGAACAAATATATATTTGGGGATACAATAGTGTATATTGATCTTTCTCCAACACAATACTTCATACAGTCGTTAAATCTATCTCATTTCCACCACAAATTGATTACATAAAGTTTGCAAATATATGAATATACAATTTCCTATTCTCTACTAATATAGAACTTCCCTAAACATGCTATTAAGTTTTTAAATTATATTGTAAAGGATATGACTCTTTATTCTGAATACAAGTATATTAGGATCTCACTCCCTCAAGAGTATCTGGGACTCCCTCAATATACAACCCATGTAGTTCTAAAATGGAGGGAGTTCCCTCATACTTTCCCCAGAATTTTTGTAGGTGTCAACTTTTTCTTGATTTTCTGGTTCCTCCTCTTAAGTTTTAAAGTCTTGATTCTGTGTTTTTTCCCTTTATAAGTGTCAAAATTATCTTCCCTCTTGTAGTAGCTTGTAATTCCATAAATTGGTTTTTTTTTTTGTCTCTGAAGTGGTAAGAAAGTCACTATTTTGGGAATTTCATCAGCCATAATTTTTTTACAAAGTCTCTGGTACACTTTTATAGAAGTTGTATTTCCCTTTGTAGGCACAGGTTCTCTTTTATAAGTCCAGTCATCTTGCTTGTAGGTTTCCTGTGTGTTTTCAAGGCAGTCCGAGCTTTTTCCCTCCTCTTTCCATGCCGTTTGGGCTTCGCTCTCAGTTTTAAATTGTTGCGTCCATAATTGGATCTCTGTCTGTACTGAGTGAAAGTCTTCTTCAACTGCTCTTTCCATAGCCACAGCAAGTGTATTTTGAACCCAATTCAAAAAGTCTTGCAAGGAAACTTGAACAGGTTTGTTGTCCACAGAGTCTGGTGTAAGCAACAACAAAGCCTCTTGGGTCTGCAGTCCATCGTTACAAATCATTTTTCCAAAATTGTATTAAAACCAAGGCGTCTCTAAAGATGATTTCCCAAGCTACGTTTTACAGAGATAACAGCTTTAGAATGTGTATGTCAGCAATTGCTGTAGTCTAGACAAAGCTGACAAAACTAGACATAGGGCGAAAAGTTTATCTGTTGTCAAAGCAACATAGTCAAAAGAAAGTGGAGTTTTACAGTTTCAATAAAGATAAACATAGATATAAACATACATTGTTATGGGAACTGTATACATAAAAAGTTTAGAGTAAGATCCATTAACAAATACGCCTTTATAATTCAAGTGTTAAATTCTAACAAATCCCCTCTGGGCTATGCCTGGGTTTTATATGTTTACTGATAGTGACTATGTAATTTGTCATATTTTATGTCAATTTTATGTACCTATTTTACCCCTTTTGCATTCTCTTTTGGTCAAGACTTCGGTCATATAGACCTGTAATAAATTGTGTTGAATTATAACAAATCCCAAAATTCAGTATTTATTTCAAAGTCTTCATAAAAAAGGCAAGAAGATTCATTAGGCTCTCACTAAAGTACTGGAGAAGACTCTTGAGAGTCCCGTGGACTGCAAGAAGATCAAATCAGTCAATCCTAAAATAAATCAACTCGGACTGTTCCCTGGAAGGCCAGATACTGGAGATGAAGCTCAAATACTTTGGCCACCCAATGAGATGGGAGCCCTCACTGGAGAAGACCCTGATGCTGGGAAAGATTGAAGGTCAAAGAAGACGGGGACGGCAAAGGACGAGATGGTTAGACAGTGTCATAGATGCAATGAACATGAAATTGAGCAAACTTCAGAGGACGGCGGAAGACAGGAAGGCCTGGCGGGATCTGGTCCATGGGGTCGTGAAGAGTCGGACTCGACTGTGCGACTGAACGACTGAACAACAACAAAGTTCAGAGTTGTAAAGAAGGCAATAATTCTTGAAGATATCAGCTGAAGAGGGTGCACTCTTGTTTTCCTTGCCCAGCAGATTATTTATACAGTTAATTTTAGATCCTTTTGCTAGCCACGGCAGAGGTTGGGGGGGCAGAAAAGAAAAAATCTTCACCCCTCCCTTCCAGTCTTTTTAATCTTTAGAAGGGCTGACATTACATAGTAGAATTTCAGTTAAAGTTGCTTTAAGAAGTACTCACGGTGCTATGCTTCATCGATGCTGTGGATGAGATGTCAACTTTTAAATCCCTCTTGGTGGGTAGCAACAGCTAGGCACTCATGGCTGCCATGAGTGCTCTTCTTCATTTCTTGCTAGAGACAATCGACGGGCTTCCCACTCGCCTGTGGCCACAGGCGAGGGGCCTAGGTCACGTCTCTTGCACGGCACCCCCCTCCAGGGAGTGCAGCAGAGCTCAAGAGCCCGCAAGTCACCTCTAAAGATAACAAATAGCCGGTGGTGCCTGGGAGCAAGTCCCAGCTCCATCCGTCTCGCAGCACTGCAACCTTAAACCCGCGCAGCCACGTCTGAATCATCCAGGCAGTTCTGCCTTTTCCTAGAAGCACAGAGTCAGCCTGTCTCTCTGGAAAGAAGGGTATTTTACTGTCAGCAAGAGAGAGCCAGAAGACTGATTATCGGGCCTCCAGTTTGGTGTAGTGGTTATGTGTGCGGACTCTAATCTGGGAGAACCGGGTGTGATTCCCCACTCCTCCTCTTGCACCTGCTGGTGTGACCGTGGGTCAGTCACAAGCTCTGGCACAGCTGGCCTTGAAAAAGAGCCGTTTGTTCCAGAGTTCTCTCAGACCCACCCACCCTCACAGGGTGTCTGTTGTGGGGAGGGGAAGGGAAAGGAGCTTGTAAGCCACTCTGAGACTCCAAGTGAAGGGCGGGGTATAAATCCAATCTCTTCTTCTTCTTCTTCTTCTTACAGTAGAGTAAGACCCTCTGGAAGCCCATCCCAGAGGAATGCGCAGTGTCAAAAAGTCCAGATTAATGTTCATATTTGTTGAAAAAAAAGTCCAGATTAGACTGAAGAAGACTCTGTCCTGTTCCATCCTCCCAAAACGCCTGAAGGACGCAGTGACCACACAGCAAGCGTGCAGTTATCCAGGTGTTCAGCATGACCAGGGTGATGCAATCTAAACGTGGGGAAGTTAGTCTGGCAGACCCTTAGAGCAGGAGAGGGTTCTCATTGTTATCAACCCCTCTTCCCTGGGGACAGGGGGAGATGGTGCTGGCCGGCCTTGGAGGAACTCGGGCATTGGGGCATGCTGAGTGGACAGGTATTCCTGCCTTTTCTTTGTGTTTGTGCTTTTCTTTGGCAGATGGTTTCCTGCTTCAAGGGGCTAGAAGGGACTTAAACCTTTGGGAAGGAGTTGGGTTGCTTGCCTCTTAGGGAGACAGAAGGTGGCTACAGTGCTTTTTCTATCCTGTTGTGGCTCAAACAAACTGTGCTTCAACGTAGAACCTCACTCTGTCTTTACTGGGCTGACAGTTTCAGTGGAAATCTCTTCAATAACACACAATCCCATCACCAAAGCAGAGGGTGCTGTGGGATTTGGCGTAAGCCAGTTGCCCTTGGGTGGCAGTGTTAACTGGTGGGACTACCGCTGCAGTCCGCCCATGCAAGGTACCATTCCCACCTGATAGGAAGGCCTGAAGACATCCAGGCGACAGCAGTAAGAATGGTTATACGTGCCTTTGGCCTCGTCCAGCAAGGTGGTTCTTAGATAACCTCCCTCTTTTCCTGGAATATCCAGTATTTAACAATAGTGCTGCCACTGAAGAGCCACAGCTCATGAGCCCCCAGATCCCAGGCCCCAGAAGGCCTCCCTCCCTCCCTCCTTACCCAGCAAGCTTGAGAATTCTACCAAACCAAGAGTCACTTGGAAGTGAAGAGGAAAGGTCCCGTGGCAATTCCTTGCCCGTTCCCATGAAGGATACTCACTTGCAGCCAGTTCATTTGGGAAGGAAATAGTCTCTTGTGATCTTCCTGAGAAACTCTCCAGCCATTCTTCGAACACAAGGCTTTGGTCTGTCTCCACCACAGTCTCTACTTTCCTGGCTTCTTTGGTACAGGGGGAGCGAGGGGAGGGGAAGGAGGGAGAGAGGGAGAAGAAGAGAGAGAGAGATTATTCCTATGTGGGGAAGGAAAGAAATCCAAGGAAGAGGAAAAATTCTTCTGGAAGGACGGAAACATGATCAAGATGAAAGACCAGAATCCCAGGCCCCAGAATCCCAGGCCTCCCTCCTTCCTTACCCAGAGAAGCTTGAGAATTCTACCAAACCAAGAGTCACTTAGAAGTGAAGAGGAAAGGTCCCATGGCTATTCCTTGCCCCTTCCCTTGGCATAACTGTGAAGGGTACTCACTTGCAGCCAGTTCATTTGGGAAGGAAATAGTCTCTTGAGAACTTCCTGAGAAACTCTCCAGCCTTTCTTCGACCACAAGGCTTTGGTCCGTCTCCACCACAGTCTCTGTTACTTTCCTGGCTTCTTTGGTGCAGGGGGAAGAAAGGAGGGGAGGGGAGGGAGGGGTGAGGGGGAGGGAGAGAGAGAGAGAGAGATTATTCTTATGTGGGGAAGGAAAGAAATCCAAGGAAGAGGAAAAATTCTTCTGGAAGGACGGAAACATGGCCAAGATCAAAGACCAGAATCCCAGGCCCCAGAAGGCCTCCCTCCCTCTTTACCCAGAAAAGCTTGAGAATTCTACCAAACCAAGAGTCACTTGGTGAAGGGGAAAGGTCCCATGGCTATTCCTTGTCCATTCCCATGACATAATTGTAAAGGATACTCACTTGCAGCCAGTTCATTTGGGAAGGAAATAGCCTCCTGAGATCTTCCCGAGAAACTCTCCCACCATTCTTCAAACACAAGGCTTTGGTCCGTCTCCACCATAGTCTCTGTTACATTCCTGACTTCTTTGGCATGGAGAGTGGGGGGGGGGGGGGAGAGAGAGAGAGAGAGAGAGAGAGATCATATCTATGTGGGGAAGGAAAGAAATCCAAGGAAGAGGGAAAATTCTTCTGGAAGGACGGAAACATGGTCAAGATCAAAGACCAGAATCCTAACCAGTATAAGGGGGATGGATCCTTTACAGATCACAGTCAGAGCGGATGGCTGTAGTCCCATCGAGGGGAAGGGTGTGCTGAGAAGGCTGCCAACTGAGAAATTGGGATCGGGTCCCTTCCAGAGTGTTTCTGAGGGCCTCTCACCCCACCTCGTCCACCGGCCAGGACACCCTCTCTGGCTTGGGTGAGGGCCACAACACTGGCCATGCTGAACCATCATTTTCACTGCCACCTCAACTCCTTGTGGCCCTCAGCATGGGGGGGTGGGGAGAGTAGCCGGGCAGTCCTCAGAACCACATGTTGCTGTTCAATATGTTGATTCATGCATTGTCCCAATGGCAGCAATTCGCACCCTTGGCACCTATGAAAGGTCCTTACCCAGAGAGGCCACGCTCCCGTAGTTCTCCAGCATGACGTCCCTGTAGAGAGCTCTTTGGTCCGGATCCAGCAAGGCCCACTCCGCCTCGGAGAAATACACGGCCACCTCCTCAAAGGAAAAGGGAGGCTGGAAGGAGAAGCAGATTCCCTCGTCAGAGATCAGTCCAGGCAGAGACTACACTCTCCATGGGGACATTCTGGGAGGATGCCGAATGCAGAGTTTGGCATGCGTAAAGAGAGTGGGGTTCAGAGCTTGTCTCTCCTCAGTTAGCAGGACCAAAAGCCTCCTGACAAAGGAGGGGTACTGGACTGTCTCCCAATCTTCCCCCCCTACCTGGAGCAGAGATGGAGCAGCCGTTTCCACTCCTCCGAAAAGACGACAGCTTGACAACAACTCTTCACTGCCTGTAAGGGAGACAAAATTGGAAGGAGAAATGTTAACCTCCAGTTCATATTTTGTTGGCTTCTTTGAATTCTGCTTCACGCATCCCTGTTCCCAGGGTTGTGAAACCTTGTCCTCTTTACACTCAAGACAATTTTTAATGACTTTTAGTGAGGTGTCAGAGAAGTGGAAGAGAAGCACCAGGCACTCATGAGCCTCGAGGTCTTATAAATGTTGCCAACCTTTTGTGAGACTTGAAATATGCCCTGTGAACCCCAAAGCTCCATCTGTAGTCCAGTATCCTCTCTCTCTCTTTGTGGCCTGCCAGATGCTCCTGGAAAGCCTTTAAGCAGGGGCACAGACCCTAAATTATTGCCCCTAGCAATGGGGTTTCAGTGGTATGCTGTCCCAAAACATGGGGGGAGGGTTGTAAAGTGCTGTGAGGTCACAGCTGACTTATGGTGAACCCACAAGTTATTCAAGGCAAGAGACCTTCAGAGGTGGTCTGCCATTGCCTGCCTCTGCACAGCAACCCCTGGACATCTTCGGTGGTCTCCCAGGCAAGAACCAACAAGGTTTAACCCTGCTGAGCTTCTGAGATCCAAGGAGACTAGGCTAGCCTCAGCCACCCACGTCTGGTGAATGTGGACGTTCCATTTATTCACCATGGCTAATAGCTGCACCCTCATTTCTCTTCCTTTCCTTTTCTGAGCCATCTTGAGACCCTCCAATGGGACAAAGCTGAGAGAGACACATTTAAATTAATGTAAATAAGAATGGAATTGCCCTCCATGAATCTGTCTACTCCCCCTTCAAGTGGAGTGGCCATCACGACATCCTATGGCACTCTGTGTCCCAGAACTCCATTCTATGTAGTCTGCAAAAGCGTTCCCCATTTCTCCTGTCTTGAACCTTCTGCCCAACAACTTGACTAGGTCCCCAGATCCCATCTGGGCAGGAGGCACCCTTACCACTTGACAGGGCATCTCGGGCATCCTCCTGGGCCTGCGCCCTCTGACTTTCCTCTGATGGAGCTCCTTCTGCCTCAGAGAGCTTCGCTTCCATCTTCTCAGGTCGTCCCCAGATCTGAAACAAGAGCCACGTAAGAGGAGGAATGGAAATATCTAGCAAAATATCTAAGAAAAAATGGGGAAAATACACTGAGGAATTATACTAAGGAGATGAAAAGATTACAGATTCGGTTGCAGAAGAATCTTTTGAAAAAGCAGCAACAGTTTTAGAAAGTAAAGGGGAAACAGCACTGAGAGCAGTGGGGAGAAACAGATCACCAGGGGTAGATGGGATATCAATAGAACTATTCCAAGGCACAGAAAAGGAGTGCCTCAAAATCTTAACAAGAGTATGCTAACAAAGATGGAAGATGAAACAATGGCCCACAGTCTGGAAACACTCACTTTAGATTCCAATTCTGACAAATGTAGACATCGTCTTGGACCATACGAGATAATTTTAGAAGAAAACCAGTGGGTTTCACAGATTAGAGCAGAGGTTTCGACTGTGTGGATCATGAAAAGCTATGGCTGGTTTTAAAAGAAATGAGTCTGCCACAACAACTGTTTGCATTGATACGCAACCTGTACTCTGAACAAGAGGCCTGTTAGGACAGAAGATGGAGAAACAAGATGGTCTCCAAACTGGAAAAAGTGTCAGACCACGATGTATTTTATCTCCCTTTCTCTTCAATCTATATGCAGAACATATTATAAGGAAAGGTGGATTTGATTTAGATGAAGGAGGAGTGAAACCTGGCTGATGGAACAGTAACAGTTATAGTTCCGCAGGGCATGCAAGATGGAGCTCTTCCACCAGGCCTTCGACCAAGGAGCCACACCCAAGAAACTGATGCCCTGGCCTCAGTATCAATATTAATATTATCATCATCACCAACAGCCTAATATACCCTAGATCTGATGTTAGCTGGGTGTTGCCTGTGGATGCTGCTAATGCCCACCCCATCTTGATATAAAATGTAATAGCACTTTATATTAAATTATATTTGCTTTATATTTGTATTGATATGATTTTATGCAATTTGTTGTAGCTGTTTTTAATATTCCATGTGAGCCGCCCTGAGCCGGCCTCGGCCAGGAGGGCGGGATATAAATTTAAATAATAAATAAATATAAATAAACTATTTGAGATATGCAGTTGACAACACATTACTGGCAGAAAACAGTGAAGCCTTGAAACAACTACTAACGTAGGTTAAAGCAGGAAGCGCCAAAGCAGGATTGCAGTTGAACATCAAGAAGACAAAAATAATGACTAGTGTAGAATTTCAGAAATTTAGCGTTAATGATGAAGAACTTGAAATTGCTCAAGACTTTCTGTTCCTTGGCTCCATTGTTAACCAAACGGGAGACAGGAAGCAAGAAATCAGGAGACTGAGGCTGGGAAGGGCAGCTCAGAAGGAGCTAGAAAAGATTCTCTACTGTAAGGATGTGCTGCTGGTGACCAATGTTCCCTCTAAGCTGTGGAGTCTTGTGAGCAAAAATTCAACTTTGTGAGCTACTGGTATTAAAGTCGTGAGCGAGCAATTTGCCTACTGCATAAATTAGTTTGCTCTGGAGCCTTCCTTCCTGAGCTGAGACAAAAATGTGTGAGCCAGAGGCTAAAAAACTGTGAGCTAGCTCACATTAACTCAGCTTAGAGGGAACACTGACCAAGACTGAGTTAATTCATGCCACAGTAGTTCTTATTACTATATGTGGGGGGGGGGGGCTAGGAGGAGGAGGAGAATTGGATTTATATCCTGCCCTTTACTTGGAGTCTGAGAGCAGATTACAATCTCCTTCCCTTCCTCTCCCCACGACAGACACCCTGCAAGTTAGATGGGGCTGAGAGCTCTGAGAAAACTGCTCTTGAGAGAACAGCCACTGACCCAAGGTCACCCAGTGGCTGCATGTTGAAGGTGGGGAATCAAACACGGTTCTCCAGACTGGAGTCCGCTGCTCTTAACACAACACCGAACTGGATCCTAGTTGTGGTACTGAAGGACATTTTTAATGGATACTGTGGACCACCAAAAAGACAAATCCGGGGGTTCTAGATCAAATCACACCTCGACTCACCCTAGAAGCTAAAATGACTAAAATTAGACTATCGTACTTTGGTGACATTACAAGAAAAGTCACTGTGAAAGACAATAATACTAGGAAAAGTTGAAGGCAGAAGGAAAACAAGAAAGCCAAACATGGGATGGATTGAATCAATCAGGGAAGCCATGGCCTTCAGTTTGTAAGACCCGAGGAAGGCTCTTAACAATAGGATGTTTTGGAGGACATTAATTCATAAGGTCACTACAAGTCAGAAGCAAATTGATGGCAGTTTAACATGCACACACACAGAAGTATCTGACGGAAGCTTTAGGATAAGGTCACTGCTTGAACTGAGTGAATGAGAACCCCTCACCTGCTCTGCCTGCCTCTTCTCCTCTGCCTGACTCAGGAGGAAACCTTCGGCCAGGGCCACCGCCTGGGAACTGGTCTCCGGGCCGCATCCTCTGACCCAGCACTGCATTTCCGTGGGCAGGACAGCCAGGAACTGCTCCAGGATCACCAGGTCCAGGATCTGCTTCTTGGTGTTCCTCTCGGGATTCAGCCAGTGGTTGCAAAGTCCATGGAGCTGGCTGCAAACCTCTCGGGGCCCATCGGCCTCATGGTAACGGAACTGCCGGAAGCGTCGGCTGCGTATATCTGTGCTCACAGTGTCCTGAGCCAAGGTCTCTGGCACAGCTCTTTCCCAAAATTCAACACCACTCCCTGGTGGGATGGGATGGGGACCTTTCCTTGATGTCTTGCCAGTTCCAGAGCCTTCTGGGTCCTCCTCTTCCATCTCCTTCTCCTTTCTCTTAGGTTGCCTCTGACTGTGGAAATATACTTTTATTCACTTGCCTATGAAGAGGGAAAGATATCAAAAAGGCAGAAAGAAAACAAAAGAGAACTGAGTCATATCACTGACCCTAGTCCAGGCAGACCTAAGTGGATCAGGAGTGTCCATGGAGTAGTTTGCAGTTCAGGATTAAGGTCCTGGGGTTATATTAAGTATCAAGCTTTTTAGGTTATGCTTGTTTGGTCCTTCAGGAAAGAACAACATCTATATTGCTGTGGATGTTGTGAGCTTGGCCTCCGGTACCTGGGGACCAGTCTGTCTAGTGGGTGCAACTAAACTGTGGACCAGGACAAAGCAACTTGTAATGGTTTAACCACTGCAGAGAGCTCCTCCGTAGGCCGGTAGGGCTTGGCAAGAGCTCTGCCCAAGCGGCCAGTAGAGAGGAAGGGGCAGAGGGGCCTCCTCAGGTCAGGATACAGGGGCTGCTGGGGGGCAAACAGGAGCAGGAGAAGGAGGCAGGGATGGGGCAGAGGTCCTAAGCAGCTTCCTGGCTGCTGTGGCTCATTGGCTAAGAGTGAATAAGTTGAAACTGAACTGCCACAGTGACCTGGAGACTAGACTGGATCAATGCCCTGTAGATTGCATTAAACTAATCCAGACACTCCAGCTGGTGCAGAACGCCCGCTCGGCTATTACGAGGAGCTGGATGGAGCAGGCAAATTACTGCCCTTCTGCAGTCCCCCCACTGGCTGGGCTGGACAGGGGCCTTCTCTCTTATGGCCCCCAGGAATGGTCTGCCTGAGGGGGTCACCCACTCGTCTGCCTTCCCACAGACTAAGCAGAACTGAATTATCAAAGAGGGCTTTTCTAAGCAAGCAATAGGGTAGCACTGGGCAAAAGGCTTCACAAGGTTTCCTGTATACATCGTTAGGGCATGGGGACTTGATTACCCTGTTTAGTTTGCTGTAAGTTGGATCCTGCTAAGTCATTTTGCAATACTTTGGGGGGTCCCGTTAACATGTATGGTTTCCCTCAATACTGTTTTTCAGATTTCTGGTCCGTTCTCCAACCCAAATTCTATTGCATAGTTTACTGAATGTATTGACTGTACGGAGTCCCACTGAAGGGCGGACTATAATCAATGGTAAATAACCCTCCTCCCTTGGGCATCTGCAGATGGGGGGAGCACCGCCCACTCCTCCCCCGCGATCCCGCCTGGGGCTTCTTCCTGGGCCTCCGTCTGACCTCCCTGGCGGGGAGCTTATTCCGATCTCCAGAACTCAGATCCCGCCTTTCAGACCCTCCCCGGAGGGGCCCCAACGAGACTAAGAAAGGAAAACACCCGTCAGAAGATCACGTGTCAGAACTACTGATCCCCTCCCCGCCAAAGCCCCACGAGGGCGGAACGTCCGTCTTCCCAGACTGAGATGGCGACTTAATCGAGAGGAGACCTTCCCGGGATCCGGTTGCCGGGCTCTTCTCAGCCGCGGCCCAGCCGAAGCCCTCCCTGGTCTCTTTCCACGCTCAGAAGCAAACACTTCCGGTTTCCCCCGGAAAAGCACTCCCTCCCTCGCTTGGCCTCTCTAGGCGACAGCTCGGCTCCTTTAACCCTTTCAGAGCTGCAGGCCCCGGAAAGAGGCTCCTCCTCCCGCCCTCCCCGTAGAGCGCAGCACCCGGACCCC